TTTTTTTTTGATAGTGATTTTAATCACTGTCAGATATCATTATACTTGATCCAACTATGCCACGTCACCACTGTGCCGCGACCCCCCTGTGCTGGGTTTTTGAGGGTAAAATTGTAATTATTTAGATATTTAAATGAGTTAACTCCTCTTCCTTCATTCATCCAAATAAACAAAAGGTAAGAATTCGGTAATCAACAAAGTATTTACTAATTTACTTACCGTTTTTCTCTTTACAATTTTCATTAACGTCATCAATAGAGAGATTTTTATCTAAAAAACGTGAATTTTGTTTATTTTAATATTAAAATTAAAAAATTAGTTTGCTTATTAAGTATATGGTTGGTGGGATGATGTGGCAGATCGATAACGCACAATGCATGTTGCACACTGTCTCGGGTTCGAGACTAGGTCACGAGTGTCTCCATTTGCTGAACGAAACCTAAGTTTAGTCATTGGAGTTTCGATCCTACTCTCTGGCGATTGACTAACCACCTATCTCGTAGTTATATATTTAAGAAACTTCCTTTTAGAGAAGACCGCTATTGGCCTCAATGGGCAGTAAAAAGTGTAAAAAAAATAAAGTATGTTAGTTGAATTCATTACATTATAATATGTATTTAAATATTTTTAATTAATTACATTTGATAAAATGGTAAATCAAATTTTCTTCACCATCATAGATATAAAGATTTTCATCTAACAAAAAAAGATTAGATAATTAAATAATGTTATATTTGAGACAGCTACAATACTTGATTCTATTATACATTTATGTATTAATAAATAAATTATGTTTATTAATTAGAAAAATATATAATTCGTTATTACCTGCATTATTTAATTTCGAAATGTATGATAAATCTATGTGATAAATATTATAATATACATTTAATAATAATTGATCACTTGGGACTAATATAATTAAAATTAATAATATATATAAATAATAATTTAAAACTAAAAAACGGTAGCACAGTGGGGTCGCGGCATAGTGGAGACATTGCATAGTTGGGTCCAGATAGATTTAATCTGATAGTGATTAAAATCACTATCATAAGAANAATCTGACAGTGATTAAAATCACTATCATAAGAAACGCTTCGATGCAAATCTGTAGATAGTGTTTAATTTTAAAAAATTGATGGATAATTGCAAAATTAACATCAACTTCTATTAAAATAAAATACAAAACCCATAATTTGAATACAAAAATAGCATATTTTTGAATACGGCAGCCATTTGCGTATAAAAGATAGGTCGTCGGGACAAATTTTTTTTTTTCATTTTGTAGTACATAAAATAAGCTTTAATTTTATATATGTTTGAAGGACGCAGTATTTCCGGAACATTTTCAAAAATTAAGTTGAAAAAGTTCATTTTTGTAAAAAAGTTACTATTTTAAATCCCCCCAGTGAACAGAATAAGTGTTAGATTTTCAAAAAAAATTATATCAAATGAAAGGGAAATATCTAAGGTTTCAATACAAGAAAATATTATTTTTATTTGTTAATTTTTGAAAAAGTTATGACAGTTTTAAGCACAAAAAACATTCCGATAAAAGGTAATATTTATCGCAAACATTACATTTTTTTTTAATTTTCGACAGCCATTTGCACATAGAAGATAGATCGTCGGGACAAATTTTTTTTTTTTATTTTATAGTACATATAATAAGCTTTAATTTTATATATGTTTAAAGGACGCAGTATTTCCGGAACACTTTCAAAAGTTAAGTTGAAAAAGTTCTATATTTTTTACAATATTTCAACATTTGAACGCCTCCTATATAAGGGGAAATTGTCCAATTTTAATAAAAAGTATGTCAAATGAAAGATGTACTTATAATGTATTTAGAAAACAAAAATTGTGCTGATATATACATTTTTCAAAAAGTTATAGCATTTTTAAGTTGAAAATTAAAAATCGAAAATCGAAAATTTTAACACAAAAATAGTGTTTTTTTAACTACGGCAGCCGTTTAAATGTAGAAAAAAAAGTGTCGGGACAAATTTTTTTTTTTCATTTTGTAGTACATAAAATAAGCTTTAATTTGATATATGTTTAAAGGACGCAGTCTTTCCGGAACATTTTCAAAAATTAAGTTGAAAAAATTAATTTTTGTAAAAAAGTTACTATTTTAAATCCCCCCAGTGAACAGAATAAGTGTTAGATTTTCAAAAAAAATTATATCAAATGAAAGGTAAATATCTAAGGTTTCAATATAAGGAAATATTATTTTTATTTGTTCATTTTTGAAAAAGTTATGGCAGTTTTAAGTACAAAAAACATCCCGATAAAATGTAATTTTTATCGCAAACATTACATTTTTTTTTAAATTTTCGACAGCCATTTGCACATAGAAGATAAGATGTCGGGACAAATTTTTTTTTTTCATTTGATAGTATATAACATAACCTTTGATTTGATATATGTTTAAAGGACGCAGTATTTCCGGAACATTTTCAAAAGTTCAGTTGAAAAAGATCTATGTTTTTTACAATATTTTAAGTTTTGAACGCCCCCTATATAAGGGGAAATTGTCCAATTTTAATAAAAAGTATGTCAAATGAAAGATGTACTTATAATGTATTTAGAAAAAAAAAATTGTGCTGATATATACATTTTTCAAAAAGTTATAGCATTTTTAAGTTGAAAATTAAAAATCGAAAATCGAAAATTTTAACGCAAAAATAGCGTTTTTTTAATTACGGCAGCCGTTTAAATGTAGAAGAAAAAGTGTCGGGACAAATTTTTTTTTTCATTTAGTAGTATATAAAATAATCTTTAATTTGATATATGTTTGAAGGACGCAGTATTTCCGGAACATTTTCAAAAAAATGATATCAAATGAAAGGTAAATATCTAAGGTTTTAGTATAAAAAAAAATTATGTTAATTTGTTGATTTTTCAAAAAGTTATGGAAGTTTTAAGAAAAGAAAGTGAAAAAATTTCGAAAATTTGCGATTTTTAAATTTGTAATTTTTTTGGATATTTCCCCCATTTGCGGGGAACGAGGGAATTTTTTTCAATTTTTAAGGGTAATGTCTTCAACTAGATACGATTTGTGATCTTTTGACGTATTTTTGAAAGAAATCGGTCCAGTGAGAGCTGAGAAAAAGTGGCAACAGACATAAAAAAAAAAAAAAACACATCATAGTAAAATTAATACCTTCTCCGCTTCACATCGAAGCTAAAAAAAGAACAAACTAATAGAAATATAGTGATCAAGATTAAAAAACACTTAAGAAATATTTAAAAACAAGATGATAAAATATCTTTGATAAATATTTATTGACATATAATCACTCGATTTTCTAGCTCCATTAGAACTATTTAAAAATGTAAATAATTCAAAGAACTTAATACAAGGGAGGTAATAGAAATGTTTAAAAATAAAAATAATTTAAATAATTGCGATTTAGCCCCACAGAAAAAATCATTATTACACATATTTAGACTAGCAATATAAGACAATCGACTAGTTAACATCACTTAGTGATAACATTAATGGGTGATAAGATCACTAGGGTCACTAAGAGAGTATATATCGGTTGGGGTTTCAGTATATGTTACAATGGTAACATTATTCCCAAAATATGTTTCCGCGACTTTATAGCAATTTTAATGGCTTTTTAAGTTAAGTATTTTTTAGATTTAAATTAATATTTTAAGTATATTTTAAACTTAATATAATATACATATTAATAATAGTAAAAAGATAATATATGTATCATTTAATCAAAATTCAATTTAGTTTAGAGATTGATTATTTTTTATGAACATTTATTTTATGCCTTAAAATATTATTTTTAATTATGTGATGTATACTGTGACGGTTTTTTAAACTCTTTTTAATAAGACCTTAATTAATTTTTGACACTTTTAAAAAAAATCTGTATGAGGCGATTAGAGCCTAATTCGCCAGCACAATCGCCCTAATTGTACCAGGGCGGTACAATACTTCGTAAAAACAAATCTTAATATACAAAATGGTTTTTTTTTATTATGAACCACTTATTTTATTGAAAAATAAATAATTATTTTCTCTTCAGTTTTTTTTAGATAAATGTATTTTTCAATTTATTAGTCATGAAGTATTTTTTATATTCATCCGTTTAGATTCATTTATATGTCAACATTATGTTTCAAGTGGCACTATACATATTTAACTAGCTTATAAAATAAAAAATGGCCAATAACAAGTTTTAAAACACTATTAGAGAATTTATTGATATATTTATATCTAGCTTGGATAAAGAGTACGTCTGAGAAATGATTAGTGATAAAAATAGCAGTGCCTCAACTTCAGTTAATACTTTAAATTAATATTAACTTCTAAAATACTCTCCCAAAAGTTTTTATGGACCAGTCATTTTTTTAATTAGATCGGTATCTAATAAATAAGTTAATTAATTATGCATGTTACCTTTTGAAAAAATTGATAAAAGAATCACGCTATTTGAAAAAATTAAATGCTGAGCAGAATTTAATTCCGTAAATTATAAAAAGAATATGCTGATAGTTGTCTAATGATTCTAAGACCTTTCACTCCATATAAAATTTGCTACTGTGTATACTTAAAACATTTTGGGCTAATAAAAAAACAAAATATCATTTTACCATGTCTTACGAACGTCTTTTCCAAGGATTCTATAAACATTTAACATTTTGTATTTTTTTGTTATATATAAATAAAATTATATTTTTTTGTTATATAAAATTATAAAATTAAATGATATGACACATGAAAATTAAACATTGAAGTTGATTATATATTTTTAAGAATAATAAAAATAAAAACAAAATTAAATTGTTTAATTTTAGTGTCATAATTAAATTAAGATACTACTAAATAGAAGGTCATTGCTCATACCTCATAAACTAGAGGAATATGATTTTTGAAGGGAAATAATTATAAAATACACGAGTCCATTGAAGACGAAAGATGGAGGAAAAAAATTTTGTGGTTAGGATATATTAAGGGGAGTATATTAGATAATAAAAAAAACAATTTAAGTTAATACCAGACAGAAAACCGAACGGTAAAAAAAACTAGTAGGCAATTAATTACACCACAATTTTATAATAAGAAGTATAATGAACGTCTTTGATTACCCGCCGGTCATCAAGCATGGAATCACCGCTAAAAAATAGAGGAAACACACCCCAAGTAAGCGACTGAATTTAGATAGTGATTCAAGTGTGATAGCTTACAAGGCATTTGGGCACCCCAGAAAAATATGCACTATTTCACCATATTTTCATAAATGCATCACTTTTTGTAATCTATAATTCAAGAATACTTGTATCATGACTACCAAAAATACATTTATAAAAAACTAAAAAAAAAAAAAAAACGGTAGCACAGTGAAGTCGAGACACAGAGTGGACGTGGCAAATAAAAAAAAAATCAATTTGACACACAATATACGAACTTTGTTGAAAAAGTTCTACTTTCTATACAAGTGTTTAAAGTTTTACACTTCTCCTGTATAAATTAAAAAAATTAATTTGGGTGAAAGTTGTATATATGAAGTATTTAAAAAAAAAATTATATTGATCCATACATTTTTCAAAAAATTATGGTATTATTAAGTTAAAAATATAAAATATAAAATCAAAAATTTTAACACAAAAATAGCACACTTTTAAACTCCATAAAATTAAGAACAAGAAACAGGATTAGCTGATGCAATAATACATAATTTTATATTATTAACAATAGCGGGAATTTATGAAAAAAATAATAATTTATAAAAAAAAAATTGTAGCACAGTGGAGTGGCGGCACAATATGGACGTGGCATAGTTGGAACAAGTATAAATGATATCTGACAGTGATTAAAATCACTATATTAAGAAACGCTTCGATGCCAATCTGTAAATAGTGTTTAATTTTAAGAAATTGGTAGATTATTTCAAAAACAACAATAACTCTTTTCCCCTTAATTTTATCACGATTAGTTATTTTATTTATAATTATTATATATGAATAAATAATAATTTTAGTAATTAAATTTAGTATGAAATTGTTATTCAATAATTTAATATTATAATTTATACGGAGAAATTATAAAAATAATAAAGTAGTTATATATGGCTTCACTTAAACGTGTATACACATTTAAAGGGCTTAATGCAATATTTTTCAATAAAAACTGTTTCTATAAATGAATACACTGGACTACAAGCAACTTTCATCAGAATCAAAAATGTACTTTTTTAAATCAACTTTTCGTTCCATTTTCAAATCTGAAATTAGACTTTTTTTATCACTTCTAATTTTTGATATGATTACTAATTACATATAAAATAATAATTAAAAGAAAAAAAATTGTTTTCACATATTTTCACTTGATTTTTTATATGTTAAAAATAATTAGTCTAAAATTCCATTTTTAACCTTTTTTTTGGTCCTTTAAAGTTGATGAAAAATTTTTGATTAAGTTTGTGAAAGTTTATATAAAAAAAAATCATTATGTTGCTATAACTTTTTTAGCTTAATTGCAATTTGAAATTGACATCATTAAATTTAAAATTTTATGAGAATGAAATAAATTATATTTTTAAGATTAAGAAATTTTATAATTACTATTTATAGTAAATTTATTAAAAAAGCTCAATATTTTTGTGCATTTTTATTGTAATAAATAACTGAAATAGAAATAATAGTAATCATTTCTAAGTAACTTTGGTATTTAAAAAGATTCTACAATTGAAATATTCAGAACTTAATTAATTTTAATGATTTTTACTTCAACTAAAAAAAAAAAGTTGTCATTTTGAATCCCCCCTGTGGGCAGGTAAAGTATTAGATTTATAAAAAAAATATACCAAATGATAAATAAAGACATCATGCATCTATATAAAAAAAAATTATATTGATTTGGTTATCTTTGATAAAATTATAGCAGTTAACAAAGTTATAAGTTTTATACATTACTATAAGGAAATTTTATCAGAAATAAAAAATATACTTTTCTAAAGAAACTTTTCGCGCTATTTTTAAATCTGCAATTAGACTTTTTCTATCATTTCTAAGTTTTAATATTATTACTTATTATTAAAAAATAAGTATTTACATATAAAAAAAAATTGTTTTAAATTAATAATGATTTAGATTAGTAATACGTTAACAATAAGGAAAATGACATATTTAATTTGTTAATCCTTTTAAGTTGAAATTAATAAATATCAAAGTAAAATTATTTAATTTTATTGTTGGTACTTATTATCATATACATAATTCGAAAATATATAATTTAAAAACATTAGACATTAATGATTAAAATTGTCTATACGGAAAATGTGAACTAAGTAACTTTTTATTTGATAAAATGGAAATTTTTTCAATTTTGGAGGGTAATATCTTCTACTATTAATTAACTAATTATAATAATTTGACGTATCGTTGGAAAGAGTAGGTCAAATTAGAGCAGAGAAAGTAAATGATAATCACCAAAAAAATACTTTCTCAGCTTTGTATCGAAACTAAAACCTAAAATATAGTAAAATAATTTTAATATGAACAAGAAATTTCTTATCGCAAGGGGCGGACTACAGTGATGGGATCCTTGATCTTTATTGAAGTTATTGTATCTAAATTTGGGTTCACTCTTATTTATTTGATCGTCAATATTTTATTTCAACTTCCCATTCGACCTCCGATATATTCTATACATCTTCTGGAGTACCCTAAGGTGTAATTCTTTCTCCTCTTCTGCTCTTTTCATCAATTCTGCACCATCAGTCCTCCGTTATTCTAAATTACTGGTATTTGCTGACGCCATGAAACTTTTCCTCCGTATCAATTCCTTATCTGACTGTCACTTACTACAAGAAGATCTATTGCGGTTTACTAACTAGAGTGAATCCCTTGGCCTCTCTCTCAATATTAATAAATGCTCAATCATGTCATTCTTCCGTCGGAATTCTCACATTGTGTTTCTTTATTCTATTAAAAACATTCCTTTAATTTGTTCCTTTGAGTCATTACGTGATTTTGGGTTTATTCTCACTCACAATCTTTCTCCAAACAAACACATCCAACATATTTCCTGTAAAGCCGTCAAGCTCCTTGGTTTCATCTCCCGTATTACTCAAGAATTTAAATTATCCAACCCTCTTAAAACTCTCTACACCTTCCTTGTTCGCCCCATCTTAGAATACGGCTCTGTTTTTTGGGATCCCCAAACGGCTTACGCAAGCAAATCATTAGAAAGGGTCCAAAGAAAATGTTTAAACTTGTCAGCATTACGCCTCAATATCCCTTATACTCCTCATGATTACTCCCCTGTCCTATTTACCCTACATCTCTCCAGCCTTGCCGATCGACGCCACAATTCAAACCTCTTCTTCCTAAATAAATAACCTCCTATCCAACAAAATAGACTCTAGCCAACTTCTTAGCCTTCTAAGATTTAAAATCCCTCTTCGCACTACCCATTCTTTCTAACACAACATTTCTCATCCCTCCTACCACTTCTCATTTCCTTGACTCCCGCCCCAATGATTCGCCTTATGCGGTTAGCTAATAATGATCCAGCTTTCGATTTATTTTAATTAAGCCTCGTTTATGTTGTTTTAATTTATATTTTGGATCAATGTATACATAAATTTTCTTTTGTTACTTGTTTCTTACTAATTTTTATTAATGATGTTTATGATGACTGTTATATATATTTTGGGCTTTGCCTGTATAAAATGTTATAAATAAAATAAAAAAAAAAAAATGAGATAAAAATCAAAGGAGTTAAAAATTTATTCTAACTTAAAAAGAATTAAGGAATAAATGCAAAAAACTTCTTGCCATACGCGTGTTGGAACCTTATACCTCAAGCGCGTCAGATTCAAGTGTTACCAATTAGGCAAACGTACGTCGCTTCTGGCGAGTGAAAAAATAGCAATTTATACTAGTTCAAATTTCAAAGTTATTTTTATCGACTTAAAAAAAGTAAAAAAAATTATATTATTACATAATAATAATATTATGTAATTTATATAGTAAAATAAGTTAAATTTTTATGCTATATTAATTTGATTTATATAATAATTATGAAAATCAGTGTACTCCTCTTGTCAGGTATTTTAAAATAAAATAAAATACAAAACTCAGAATTTTAACACAAAAATAGAAAATTTTTGCATACGGTAGTCATTTTCACCATGAAGACAAGTCCAGAGGTCAATTTTTTTTTTTCAATTAAAGTATATTACATAAGCTTTAATTTAAGGTATATATAAAAGTGTCTTCCCGGAACATTTTCAAAAGTTAAGTTGAAAAGTTAATTTTTTGTGAAGAATTTATCATTTTAAATCCCCTCAGTGTGCAGGTAAAGTATAAAAAAAATATACCAAATAATAGGTAAAGACATTTTGAAACCCTTTCTGTGGGCTGGGTAGGGGTCAAATGCTCACAAAAATATATTAAAAGATAAGTAAATACCTAAGGTATATATTAAAATAAATTATATTGATTCGGTCATTTTTAAAAAAGTTATGGTAATTTTAAGTAAAAAAAATTGAAAAAATGTCGAAAATTAGGGATTTTTAAATTTGTAATTTTTTTGGAGATTTCCCCTATTTACGGGTAATGAGGGAAATGTTTTTAACTTGTGAGGATAATGTCTTTGACTAGATATGATTTGTGATCTTTTGGCGTATTGTTCATAAAAATGGGTCTAGCGAGATCTGAGATTGAGCATTCACAGACACAAAAAAAAAAACACATCATAGTAAAATTAATACCTTCTCAGCTTCGCATCGAAGCTAAAACACCATTTGTTACAGTGCACTCAACAAAACTTGCTATTCCCAGACTTAAGTAGATCAAATTCTGACTTCGTGATTAAAGTTTGGCAAACCATCGACATTTTAACGACAGTGCGATGGCAACGTTTCAGTTAGCCTTCAGAGTAGGGATCAACGAATTTTGAAATAGTACCGGAAATTATTAAAAATATTTTTAATCAAGATTTGTCAAAAGATGACAATTTAAGTGATGAACAGTGCATTATAACGAGTAATAGGGGAAAAGAATGGGGTGAGTGTATACACATAATGCCGTCTATGAGCCGGCTTGATGTAATGCACAGTTTATTCTCGCGTAACAACAAATCGTAACACCTTATCATGATTATGTAGATGATAAATATATTAACGTCATTGCAACACATCGTTGGCACATCAAAGTTGAAATTCCAATGAAATATTTACAAAATATACATTAGGGAGTACCTTTTTGTCACATTTGAAATGACATACTGAATTCAAATATTTTTTCAAAAGTTTTATAATCTACTGATATTTGACAAAACTATAGTTTTGTATGTGTAATATTATGTAAAAGTTTATGAGGCATATAAACTTAAATAGAATCATTTTATACATATATATATATATATATATGTTTTATATACTTACCACGCGTAACATATTTAATATAACTATTAAACTTTTTATAAAAAATTTCTAAAAAAAAAAAATATTAATGGATTAAAAATTGTTTAACTTTTTATTAAATAGGATGTTACACGTTATTCTTCATGTATAATTTTCTTAATCTTTGTATAATGTATAATCTTTGCATGATTGCATAAAAATTATCAAATTATAATATTAAAAATAAGAAGAATATTAGGGCACGATAAGTATTTTACAGGAAAAATAGTAATTCTGAATCATTGTAATGAAAATACAGTAAAATTATAATTATTAAAATCGGAAAATATAAAAAAAGTTTGACATTTGTTTACTGAGGCATTCACCAGGGATGTATTCAAAATAAATTTTTTTACTTCGGTAAGAATGTTAAAGAATATTTTTTGCTAAAAAGCAAATATTAAGAAATCGACTTTAAAAAATATTAATACATCGATAATCAAAAGGTAAACAATTATATACCTAGTTATTAAATAGAAAAAAACAAGTAATAAACAGAGAATAACTAAAAAAATAACATAAATGTATGAAATTTTTTTTAATTTGAATAAAAATATAATATAAGTATTTTTATGATTAAAATTTTTTCAGTAAAATATTCACTGAATATTTTCATTAATATATTTTTAAATAATGGAAAAATGACTACTCATAATTATCACTTCTAACATAATATTTAATGATAATGTTACACATAACATTATTTTTAAGAAATTAGATAAATTATAAACAAAAAATTGATTCAATTAAGTTCCTTTAATTTAACAAGAGTTAAGCTGTACAACGTCAAAACAAATTATCTGATTTTTTTAAAATTTAACTGGACAATAAATGTTAAAATTTTGACAGGTATAATTCTGTTTCCTATTGTGTCGTAACATCTAAAATAATTATTTTAATGTTACAGATTAATTATAGAATAATTTAACAAGTTTTTACTCCAAATACTGGAATTTTGTCTTTTTACTATAAAAAAAGTCAACTTTCCTTAGAATGTTGGTTACTGTAATATGACATTGTATAGCACAGTTGACATAGATAAATCCTGATTTTTATGATAAATTAATATATTTAAAATGTTTCCAAACAGTACTGTTGTGAAAATGTACATGTAAATTTTTTTTATTTAGCTGTGCGAATAATTAATGTACAATGGTATTGCACATATTCTAACACAATTTCAAAAAAAAAAAATTTTATCAATGATAATAATTTAAAATTTAAATCAAAATGTGCATGCTTAAAAATGTATCCTAATAAGAAATCTGTGCGTGTGCATAAAAAAAATTAATTGCTCACAGAACGGTTGAAATTTTAAAACACAAACGTGCGAATTAGTAAATCCATTGCAACCAACAATAACTCAAATAACTTTATAATTATTTATGATACACATAAATATACTTAAATAGTGTTGTAAAATTTTTGTAAAAATCTTTTTCTAGAATATTATTGGGTATACTCTTAGGAAAAATCTATAAAAATAGCTATTGATTTATTATATTTTACATTATTGTATAATGGTCTTGAATTTACTAACTAATATATAATTTCATACAAAGTTAGAGATATAGTCTTTTTTAAATAAAATCTAACTTATTATCCAATTTTATGTTTTCCAGTTTACAAATGTTTTAGAGTTATATTTTATCTTAATATGTTACTTGAATGTAACTAAATTTATTTATTAATAAATGGAGGCATTGTGGATTTTAACTTTAAAAATGGAGCTAATATTTTGGTCTATGAATATATTATACTTAATATTTTTATACCTCATCAAAATTTATCATTTTTATTATTTTATTACAAAGTTGTTTTTGTATTAATTTAATTCTTTAAATAAAATCATTTTATTTGTTGAATATTCACTAAATAACTAAGTTTGTTTTTGTTGTATAGAATATATTTGTCTGCGACTGACAAATACATAAATATTACAATAGTATAGATTGAAGTCAACAGGCTTAACATTTAGAACAATTATAAATACTGTAATATAGGTCATTATTTGTAAAGCTGAAAGTATAACATTTTTGTAATGTTTGGTTTAATTATAATTTCCTGATCTAATGTTACTTAATATAATATAGTCTATTATTTAAAGCTGGAAGTAAAACATTTTTGTAATGATTGACTTCATTGTAATTTCCTGAATTATTGTTACTAGACCAGGAAGTAAATATTTATAAACATTTTTTAATTGTATTATTAATGTTGTATTCGTAAAGAGAAGAAAAACAAAATATTTTAGTATATAAGACAAAATGGAATAAATTGTAAGGGAGAGGAGAGAGGACCTCGGGAACACCTAAGGTAATCTCTTTTCGCGTGGTATGTTTAAGACATTAAGTTTTCTTTTTGTGTATTGTTTTATTGAACTTTTATTGCCTTAAATTAAGATATTAGAGTTGTTTCCTTTTTGATACAATAATATTTAAATAAATATGTAAACTAACTGTGTAAAGTCACCTGCGTGTAATTAATATAATCGGAAATAAGTGATTAAGCTTTATTTTCGTTTTCTAGTAGGCGTTGTAGGCGCACTGCTGTGGTCGATACACATCTAGGGTACAAAGCGAGTGCCTTACTGTTATGTGCTGTCAATGCTCTGAGGACACTGCGACATGTTGAGGGCTATTGTGCAATATTAACAAATTAAACTACATGACAAAACACATATAATATTACTTGTTTAAACCAGCGTAGGTTACTCGTACAGTTGGGCTTCAACGACATACGATTTATTTTACACAAGGTAAAGAGCATTGCACTCTGTTTATGATTTTTTATTTTTACAGTCCATTTACGAATTAACAATAATGTAGAAATATAATAAATAAACATTATTTGAAAATTTTATGCTTGCAATGGAAATGTACAGATTTTATAATAAATATTACCTTTGGTTATCACCTTTTCAAGTATTTCATCTGTAATCGAACATAGGAACCATTAGGTTTTAGTAAAATTATTAAATATATGTCATACTAAAGATATTATTTTCATTTTCAACACGAATAAAGTTTATTTTGTTTATTTGAATTCATTCATTGAATAATTCATTTAGTATAAATAAATAGTATAATTATAAACGATTGAGATTTTTTTTTTATTAACTTCGATGAATAGCTAAGATTTGTGATAAAGAAAAAATCATATACTTTTCAAAGAAAATGACCAACTTGGTAATATTTCATAATAACAGAATACTTTCATCATTCTAAATTATTTCGAATTAAAGCTTATTTAATGTAATAGATGATTGAAAACAAAAAATCGTTCCGGTGATTGGTCCACTGTGAGTAATTAACTTAAAAAATTATGGAGTTTTAGTAGATTTTAGATAGGCTAGGCCCAAAGAGATTTTCTTGGTTTAATCATCATACCCTCGTAAATATTTATACCTACATTTTATGATTGATATAGTCACTTCTACGTATTTATAAAATTATACGTGGTAAAACAATTATTATCAATATAATACTAGCTTAAGATATGACACATCGTAATTTTCCTCACCTTTATCCCAAATAATTGGGGATGGCCAACATTATCCTAAATTTCCACTTGACACGATCTCCCACATCATCAACGTACACATCAGTCATCCTCATATCGTATTCAGCAGTATTCCTCCATCTTTTTTTTGGTTTTCCTCTATGTCTTCTTCCCTCAAAATTAATTTTCATAACTGTACTTACAGATTTTTATTCCTTTCTTCTTATAACATTAACAAACCATCCAAGTATATTTTCTCTTAACTTATTCACGATTGACGCAACACTTATACTCCCTCTGATATGTTCGTTATTATTTTCTCTAGTTACTCCATTTATCCATCTAAGTATTTTAATCTCTGCTATATTCATTCTCTGCTTTATTTTCTAGTCAACCGCCCAACACTGAACCATACATCATAGTTAGTTTCACTACAGTCTTATAGAAATTATCTTTCAGCCTCATTGGAATTCTCTTATCACATAACTAGACGCTTTTCTCAACTTTTCTAACCCTTAATTAATCCTGTGTCTTACATCCTAATCAATACCACCATTCGTTTGCACAACTGATCCAAAATACTTGAAACTTTCTACCTCTCTTATCATGTCCTTGCTTATTGTCACTGATCTCCTTATTTCACTTATCTCGTGTTCTCCTTTGTCTAACTCGTATTATGTACACTCTGTCTTATTCATACTTATTCTTAATCCTTTTCCTTCAAAAGCTGATCTCAAAACCTCTAGCCTTTGATTTCCTCTCTAATATTATATGTATTAATATACGAGTCACGTATTTTATAAAATAAATTAAAATAATAAGTACAGTTTATTTATAAATAGTCAAAATCCTTTAGGTTTAGGGAAGTGTCAAAGAATTTTTAAGTCTATAGCGATTTATATCGTCAATGTTACTTGTTATGTTATTAATATTACAATATATTTTTTTGTGTTTACTTCATTTGAATAACTAAATAATTTTAAATGAATTTTAAATTCATAAAAAACACGAAAAAAGTATCAAAGAGAGAGAGAGAGAGAGAGAATTTTTTAAAAAGTAGGATAAAATTATTAATAATTTGAGATTTAGACCCTTTTTGTAAATATAAAAATAATCTCGGTGGGCCTTTTTTACAATTCGGCACTGGATATATTAAATTGTTTTTCAATGTAGTAATACACATCATAGCGTTTTATGATAATGATTTTAATAACAGTCAAATATTAATCAATACTAAACTCAAAAATATCTCAATACTGTACTCTATAATAATAATAACTCAATACTCTACTGTATTCTACTATTACTAAATTTAATTTATAACTTCATGTTACATATTTATTTTTGTTTTTATTAATTTGATTTTTTAGTTAAATAGATCAAATAAAAATTAAAGCACATATTAATTTATAAATTTTTTTTAAATAATGGTAATAGTAGTAACGCAAGTTATATGAATATAATTTCAGTTAAAACAGCCTTTATAGTTCAGTCGTAAATGCGTATTATTCATTGTCTAGAAATCAAGGTTTGATTTTGTTCCACCTAGTCGTATAGGTTTTTACGTCTTCTCTATATAACAAGAATTATTATTTTCTTAAAAAATAAGAAAAAAATATTCTAATCATTTTAGTAATTCCTCTTTGTTTGGTATTTTAATTCATTGGTAAAACTTACTTGTTAAATGTATCTTATAGCCTACATCTGTAATGAAAAAATATCAATCAGAAACATTTAAAATTATTTTAAATGCTATAAACAATTATTATAATAGTAAAACTGTAAGCAACTGATTATAAAATCGGAATCTAAACATTTTCAATAACCAAAACCAGAAAGGGTAGTCTATAGGGCCTACCTATCTCCAAATTTTGTTTCAGATACATTATATTTATGAGGCTAAGCTTATCAAGCTTTGAACACTTTCAAAAGTTAGGTTGAAAAGTGAATTTTTTGTGAACTAGTTGTCATTTTAAATCCTCTCTTGTGGACAGGTTAAAGATCAGATTTATAAAAAAAATACCAAATGATATGTAAAGACATCATGCATATATAAAAAAAAGAATGATCTTGATTTAATCATTTTTAAAATAGTTATGGTAATTTTAAGTAAGAAAAATTGAAAAAATGTCGAAAATTAGGGATTTTTAAATTTGTAATTTTTTGGAGATTTCCCCTATTTACGGGTAATGAGGGAAATGTTTTTAACTTGTGAGGATAATGTCTTTGACTAGATATGATTTGTGATCTTTTGGCGTATCTTTGAAAGAAATCGGTTCGGTGAAAGCTGAGAAAAAGTGGTAACAGCACAAAAAAAAACACATCATAGTAAAATTAATACCTTCTCAGCTTCATATCAAAGCTAAAAAGAAATAGTGTAAAGTCGCACAATAATCTTATGGTGGAGCAATTTAAATTATTATTTTTAAATAAATTCAATAGATTTATTTTTAACTATTTATTAGGTATTCTTTTAAATTTTATCACTACCGATACATTCCAATAAAGATTTATTTATCTTTAATCTTTTTTAATCAATTTTCAATATCTATTTATCTATTTTTGAATAGCTATCAAATTTTATTAATCTAAATAAAATTTTTTGGTATATTTTTACGAAAATATTAGCACTTTAATTTTATTTCAAATTTTTTCTAAGAATCAAATAAATATAAATATGAAAAAATATTAAAATTTGTTTTAAATTTGAAATTTTTAGTAAAAAAGAAAAATATGATATTTGAATAATTTGGCGACGTTTAAAAACACAATTTAGTCATTAATTTTTTATGTTTTTCATATTTATGTATGTCCCTTTTTATAAAAAGTCATCCCATACAAAGTTTTTTCCAATCATATTCAGTTCTATCAGTAATTTCAAAATACATTCTACTTAAGATTTTTATTCACTATGACTTAGTCGTTTTTTCATTTTATTTGGAAATAGAATATTTTTTAATTTATAAACACTTAATTTTTAGAGATTATTCAAAATTGTTATGATATTTTTGAAAAAGTTGTTTATCAAAACTCAGGTTTGTTTATATTATGATAAATTAATTTTACACATAATACATTTAATACTTCGAAACATATGAATTACCTAAAATTATATTTTCATTTATATATTTCAATTGACTTACTTTGCCATAATNCCTAAAATTATATTTTCATTTATATATTTCAATTGACTTACTTTGCCATAATTTTTTTGTTATCGTGCTGACTGACGGTTTTATGAAATAAAAACATAAAAATAAAAAATGTGTGTGTAATAAAAGCATTGTATACTATTTTATGAAAAATAATCAAAAGATTAGAAGAATATACTTTAAGGTAAAAACGAGATAATATGTTTAAATTAAAATTTAATATATCTAATTTTGTCGTGTTCAAATGTTATTATATACGTTTATCCATCCATAATCAAATAAACGTTATAATTTTTTATCATGATTTTAATAATATATTTAGAATAATGTTATTTATTACAATGTTTTTCGTTATAATATATAAAATGANTATATTTAGAATAATGTTATTTATTACAATGTTTTTCGTTATAATATATAAAATGACGCATTATTCTAATATTTTCACAATAGTTTTAGTAAAAATATGTTTTTAATGTAAAATGTTTATCCCAACTATTAAAATTATTAAAGTAAGGTAGTTTAGTATAATTTATAAAATTTTATTTTAATATTTAATAGTTGTACATTATAATAGTTTTAATTAAAAACACAGGCTCAAATGAAATTTACATTTTAAATGTAAAGTCTTGAAAAAAAATAACATATTTATTCATAACAAATTAGTAAATTCTGTCGTTAGTAAGCAGTTAAAGTCTTCCAAGCTTTGTCAATAAATTTCTAAAAATAACGTCATCNATAAAAATCTTCCAAGCTTTGTCAATAAATTTCTAAAAATAACGTCATCTAGTATATTTTTTGAAAAAAAATTTAAAAATCTGAACACGCTTAGTAATTTTTCCAAAAATGGGGTTTTCCTTGTTTTTTTTTTATAATGTCCTTTTTTATTAAATAGCAGTTAAGTTCATAATAATTAAAAGAGACAAATAATGTTTATCTTTTACTATTCATTAAAAATCGAACGTTATTTTCATATTTTTCGTCTACCTTGGTGAATTTTCTAATATCTAATGTAAATAATATTCTAAAAACATATTTATTTATTGATATTTCTCATTTCTATCATCTCAGGCTATTTAGTAAATATATCTGTCAAAATCAAAAAATTTCTCTCATGTAGAATAAAAAAATCTAAATGCACCCTGATCATTGGATATGTAGTGTCGTATGCTCCACGGCACGAAAATATATAGACACAGATTTCAATGGGATATTAAAAATAAAACAAAGTTTCAAAGAAAACACCTGTTATCATGAACAACCTCCGGGGTCCCAAACTAGAGCTTCTCATATATAATTATCTGTTTTATATTTAAAACTAAGTTGAGGTATTTTGGGATATTTACAAATATTCATAGATTAATCACGGTTAAGTTAGGTTTTAGTTGGTGTTAATATTTCTCTTAAACGTTTAATCTTACATCTAGGAAGTTAATTTTTTTTAGTTTGTTAGTTTGTTTTTAAATAACATTCTATAGGAAATTACTACTTTATATTTATATTCCACGGTACCCTCCTTTTACTGTATAATATTTGATGTTCTACTTCCTTAATAAGAATTGCTACTTTTAACATAACTATCAATTTTTATATCCAATTGTAGCCTCCAAAAGTAGGACCTACATATTGCTTTCTAAGAACCTTTTCTTTAATCTACTAAGAATGATCATTCTGAATCCTCACATATTTATCGCATAATTATAATGACACATTAGCAATTTTATTTTTATTACCTTTATATATTTTAGTTCATAGTTAAATTCGATAAAAACAAAGCATATCTTTATATATTACCTGAAGCTATAGTAGAAATACCTTTTCTCTCTCTAATTAGAACCAATAATGGCCTATGATCTGATTCTAAAATAATTTTTTTACCCAAAATATTGGACACACTTTTTGACACTCCATACTATAGTTAACGCTTCTTTATGTATTACTACATTTTTTTTCTAAACTATTTAATATCCTAAAAATAGAGGCCACCGGTTTTTGTTCCCCCTCAGGGTACACTTGCATTAAAGTTGTTCCCACACCATAATCTGAAGCATCACAAACTAATTTCAGTGGTAAATCTTGATTATAATGTACTATTACGAATTACTATTTTATTTTATTTTCTATAATATTTCAAACCTATTTTTCTTTTTGATTTATTACAATTGATACCATTATACGGTATAAGAAATGAACATAAAAAATATTTCACAATTGAAAAAATTGAAAAAATACACATATCTAAAAGAAATTATCAACAAATTATCAATTACAATAAAAAATCTACTACTTCATTAAATAGTGATGACCCTGTATTTAGACCAATTAATAAACAGTCCATTATTTAAATTTTTCAATGTTTTATTATATATTAAGATTTAAAAATTTTAAAAATTAAATAACAAAACGAATTAAAATTCGTCATCTTGCCCTATGCTAGACTTTTTAATGGAGCATGTTGACATAACTTAGATTAATTTAGGTTTTATTTAAAAGAGCATTACATAGGTATTTCCTAATTAAGAGGGAAACAACTTCGTGCTATTAATAATTTGGAAGACTTAAATAATTTTTTAATTAGTCCACTCAGTAGTTAAAAACAATAAAATTAGGGAGTAAAAAAATTTTAAAGGGAAATCTTTAAATATGCTCTTGGAAAATTATTAGGTTTATTTTTTCCAGTAACCGAGTGCATATTAATAATTATAAACAAATTTTTTTTGTTTATAAAAATTTCATATAAAAATANATTAATAATTATAAACAAATTTTTTTTGTTTATAAAAATTTCATATAAAAATAACAAAAAAGAACTTCCCCTTTTAATTTTTATTAAAAAATCTGAAATAAAACATTAAATTTTAAATACTTTATGTAGTTACTATATAATGATCGAGAATCTCCGCGACGGATAGGCAACACAAAATGCGTATACGTGCGAATGTTCTCGATCGCTCCGTAAGAGAATCTTCTAGAACTCAACACAATATAAAACGCGCGACGTAATAATAATGTCATTCAGTTAGTTAGCCAGTCGTCGGTTAATCGTCTACATTTTTTCTGTTTTATAAATTAGTGTTTTTATTTATTTTAAATCTTTAAAATCTTTAATCGATATTAAAAAATCTTACTGTTTATAATATGAAACTAACCAATTAACAATTTTTTCATCATGTCATTTCTTTTTTTTTACTGATTTATTGAAAAATATTTCTATAAACCAAATCAATTAAATAATGTACTATTATTAAAAAGGATCAATAGGGTTACTTTAGTTACGATTTTTGTAAAAAAATTATTTTTTATATTCTTAACTTTATAATAAATTAAATATTCTTAAATAAATATAATAATATTTAATATATTTATAATTATAATATATAATATTTTTTGTAATTTAAGACTACAGATTAAAAAAATTCTTAATTTATATTAGTATTTTTTAAAATTGTATCAGTTTTGACATAACCGTCAACAACATCATAATGTAATAAAACTAGTGATTCATCTTCTTTTTTTATAGATTCTTTAAACTTAAGTGGACCGTTTCCCACTTTAGATAGAAAGTCATTAGCCGCCATAGCTTCATAATTGTTTGGTGTAATATTACAAATAAAGTCCATAGTACAAACTGGATTAAATATAAAGTCTTGCACAGAGTCATCAAATGATCTAATGAGAGCTATAATTTTGCATTTTTCATTTTCTTCCACACACAATGGTTTGTCTGAAATATAATAATATTATNAGCTATAATTTTGCATTTTTCATTTTCTTCCACACACAATGGTTTGTCTGAAATATAATAATATTATAAATAATTAAAAAAATAGTGTTAAGTTATACAATAAATTCATGGTGAAAGAATTCAAATAACATCTTTAAATAAATTGAATATATTTTTATCGAATAATTAAGAGTTCCTAATGTCAGACTTTTTGGAATCTATCAAATTTTAATAATCTAAATATATTATTATGAATATTTTTACGTAATTTTTAGCACTTTAATTTTACTTAAAATATCGTGAAGGAATATTGTGATAACATTTTTTTTAATTGGAAGTGTCAACTTATTTTTAGAAAAATAATAATATGTTTTTCAAATATAATAGTAATGCTAAAAAAAGCATAATTCAGTCAAAATGTAAAAATCTTTTGGTTGGCATAATAATAACATTCTTTTAGTTTCGATGCAAAGCTTAAAATGTGTTAATTTTATTATAATTACAATGAGAGATAATTTTATTATCTCTCATTGAACCGATTTTTTTCAATGATACATCAAAAGATCACAAATCCTACCTAGTTGAAGATGTTACACTTTGAAGTTGAAAATATTTCCCTCGTTTCACTTAAATGGAAAAATTCCTCAATAAATTCTGATTTTTTAAATCAGTAAGTTTCAACAATTTAAAAAAAAAAATTTCTTTAAGTTGTAATAACTTTTAAAAAAACTGATGAATCAAAATAAATTTTTAATACAAATACTTTACATATGTATTTTCCTTTTTATTGTATATTTTTTTGAAAATCGGAGTATTTACCCATTCATGGAGTGATTTAAAAAAGAAACCTTTGCGTGATGTTACAAGTTTATACTTCAAAAAGAAATTGTTTTCTCTTATTTATGCTTATACTTTGTAATATTATATTATCAATTATAATTCTAGCATATAATATAATGTTATTATTTGTAAATGTATATTATACATTATGAATATACATGATCACCAAAATGGGGTTTCTTTTTTTTAAAATACAAAATTTCCAGCTAATTATGGCACATAACTTACTTATTGTATAGATTCTTAAGTAGCACCTATACACAGGACCACCATTGTCATTAATGAATTACAATAAAAACCTCAGCTTTCAAGATCAGTCTAGGGGTCTCTAGACTACCTTTTCTGACTATAAAAAGCAAGTTATTCCCTATGAAAACCAAATATTTTGGTAATTTCAAAATACAAAAAATCTGTGATATTCTACTCAATGTTTTGCATCGAAGTGTTTCTTATAAATCTAAATTTTTTTTTTAAATTTATTTGAATACATTTTTAAATTCGGTTTATATTGATATGTTTATTGGTTTTTAGAAATTACTTTCTTACTCATGAATTCAACTATTTTAAACAAATTTAATCATTTAGGCCAACATTGGGGGGTGTCCATATTAAGTTCTAAATTGGATTTAAGTCTCTTAGACTATTAACTTAAACTATTTTAGCATTTCTAAACATTTTACTAATTATTTGTTTACGGAATTGTTATATATTAGTGTAAATATTTTTTTTAAAATATTAAACATTTTCTTTTTTAAATCAATCAAATCATAGCATAATTAAATTGTAAATAACCCTGACAACAGCACCTTTTCACTACAAGACCAGCAGGTGATGCGCTTTTATCATAAACATAATGAATACCAGCACACTCTGCTGTAGACAGTCTGTCCCTGAACACGGAACATTTCAAATGAGTCATCTATAGAATTTAGTATATATTTAACTTGTTAGATATTTCAATCATTAGAATAGCTTTTTAAAAAAATAAATTTTTGTGTTATCTGAACCCCTAAGAGATCATAGACAATTGTATTAAGTATGAGTATGCTTGAATGAAGTTTGGAGTGTTTGAAGATTTGAGAAATTTGGAGAAAGAAGGAATTTTTAAATAGCAGTAAAAATAGGACAAATTTTACCATAAGTTATTTGTACATTGGTGGTTCATTTTTCATTCAACACAAATATTCTACAATAATATTTAATTTTTAATCAATAAATGTTGTAGTTCTTTCTAAGATTTTCAAGAATTGAAAAGAAAATTTTTTTTCTAAAATATTTTTCATAAAGATAATTTATTTTAAAAATACAGATTTGCTTCGAAGCGCTTCATATGATAATGATTTTAATCGCTGTCAGATATCATCTATACTTATCTCAACTAAGTAAAATCACTGTCCTACCATATTATTATTTTTTTTTGTAACTATTACACTAATAAAATATTTTATCATCACTTTAGACAATAAGTCAAATTTCCCAGGAAATCTAATTAAATATACCTCTTGCCTAAAAATGTTCTTACATAACAGTATTTGTAAATTTTTTATTTTATGAGGACTATAATAGAATTTGAAGTAGTTGGTATAGTGGTAGTCCTCTCATTTTTCTTTTAAGATTACATTTATAATTTTCGTATTGAAGTATGAGAAGTTTTAGCTTCGATGCGAAGCTGAGAAGGTATTAATTTTTAATATGATGTGATTCTTTTTTTGTGTCTGTGAATGCTCAAATCTCAACTCTCGCTAGACCCATTTTTATGAACAATATATTAAAAGATCCAAAATTGTATATAGTTGAAGACATTAACCTTAAAAACTGAAAAATTTCCATCGTTCCCCGTAAATGGGGGAAATTTTCCAAAAAATTACAATTTTTAAAATTGGTAAATTTAGTCTTTTTTTAAAATTTTTTCTTAAAACTACCATAACTTTTTTCTAAAATTAACATATCAACTTAATTTTTTTTTATATTGAAATCTTAGATGTTTTCCTTTGATTTAATATCATTTTTTTGAAAGTCTAATACTTAACCTGCTCACATGAGAGATTTAAAATAGCAAATTTTTCACAAAAATTAATTTTTTCCACTTAACTTTTAAAATTGTTTCGGAAATTATCATTCTTTAAACATATGTCAAATAAAAGCTTATATTACTCATTATAAACTGAAAAAGAAATTTGTCTTTAAATTTAAATTTTTTTCCTTTTTTAAGTTGAAAAAGTAACTTTAAAAATTGAATTAGCTTAATTTGCCAAATTAATCAAGCGACGAAAGGGACGAAAAGTTGCCGAATTGGTAACAATTTTGTCTTTAATACTTAGGGTACGAGGTTTGAATTCGCATGTAGCAATTAATTATTTGCATTTTTTCCTTAATTCTTTTTGAGTTAGAAAAAAAATTTCAAATTATTCGATTTTTATCTCATTTAAATTCAATAACCAATAAATATCAAGGATCCCATCACTGTAATCTCCCCTCATGAGAAGAAAGTTCTTATTCATGTTAATATTATTTTACTATGTGTTTTTTTTTGTGGCTGCAATTTATTTTTCCAACCCTTATTTAAACTACTTTTTTCAAAGATATGTCAAATGATTACAATTTGTATTTAGTTGAAGATATTACCCTCAAAAATTGAAAAAAAATCCCTTAATTAAATAAAGAGTAGCTAACCAGTTTATTCATACAAATAATTTAAATCATTCATTTCTAATATTTTTAAAGTATTTATTGTCGAATTAGATTTAATATGATAAAAAGTATTCAACTAAAAAAGTGAATAATTTTTATTTGTATTTTATTAATNTCAACTAAAAAAGTAAATAATTTTTCTTTGTATTTTATTAATTTTTTAACTCTATTTGTGTGTGCTACTATCAGTCTATATCATTCCAAATTTTTTTGTAACATGTTTCTATATAAATCATAAATCTATAAAAAAAATGATTTTTAGTTTCACCTGAATTTAACAATGGATTTTTACAATTATAATCAAAATTTATAATACGCTAAATTGAGTAAATCTTTTTAACTACTTTTTTTTTATTGGTTTTTTTAGTTAAAGTAAAATTAATTCANTCACCTGAATTTAACAATGGATTTTTACAATTATAATCAAAATTTATAATACGCTCAATTGAGTAAATCTTTTCAACAACTTTTTTTTTATTGGTTTTTTTAGTTAAAGTAAAATTAATTCAGTTGTGCATGTTTCAATTGTAAATCTAATACCCAAATGTTAATTAGAAATGATTACTATGATTTATATTTAAGTGATATATTATTATAAAAATGCAAAAAAAAACGAGTTCTTCTGATAAACTGTAAATAGTAATTATAAAATTTGTTGACTGCATATTAATCTTTAAAATAACATTTCTTTCTATATAATTATGTCAATTTCAAACTTGTTAGTTGAGCTAAAATTTATGGCAATAAATTCATTATTTTTTTTAGTATAAACTTCCACAAAAAAGTAGGTTAAAAATTATTAATCCTCCAATTTCTTAAAATTAAACACTATCTACAGATTTGCATCAAAGCATTTCTTATGATAGTCATTTTAATAAATTTCAGATATCATCTATACTAGTTTCAACTATGCCACGCTCACACTGTGCGCGACCCCACTGTGCTACCTTTTTTTTTTTTATATTTTATAATTTATAATTTTAAAATACATTTAAAATATATTCAATTTATATAGAAGCCAGTGCTCATTACGAGTACGCGCATTGAAATAACACTCCTTTCATTCAACTGATTGAACATTAGATTTAAATTGGTATAAAATAAAAAAACGGTAGCACAGTGGGGTCACGGCACAGTATGGACATGTGATAGTTAGAACTATTATAGATGATATCTGATAGTGATTAAAATCACTATCATATTAAATGCTTCGAATCAAATATGTTGTTGAAACAGATGTTTTTGTGTTTAATTTTAATAATGGGTAGATTATTCCAAGAACAAAATTAACTCCTGTTTTTTTTTAACTTTGACTGACATTTGCACACAAAAGAGAAGTCGCCGGGAAATTTTTTTTTTTTCTAATCATAAGCTTTAATTTCATATATCTTTAAGGGACGCAGTATTTCCGGAACATTATCAAAACTTATGTTGAATAAGTTAAATATTTTTAAAAAAACTTGCTATTTTTAATCCCCCTCTGCGGGTAATTAACATGTAAACATTTTTAAAAAAATGATATCAAATGAAGGCAAATATCTAAAGTTACTATTTAAAAAAAAATTATTTTCGTACGTTTATTTTTCAAAAAGTAATAGCAGTTGTAAGAGAAAAAAAACCCAGCACAGGGGGGTCGCGGCACAGTGGTGACGTGGCATAGTTGGATCAAGTATAATGATATCTGACAGTGATTAAAATCACTATCAAAAATAAACGCTTCGATGCAAATCTTTAGATAGTGTTTAATTTTAAAAAAATTGGTGTTTTATTCCAAAAGCTACTTGATCTGCTGGTTCCTTATTAATATCTCGATTAAGATAAAGTATGTCGAATTACAAAGTTAAATATAAAATAAATAATAAAATCAAAAATTTTCACACAAAAATAGTATTCGGTAGCCGTTTTCACCATGAAGACAAGTCCAGAGGTCAAATTTTTTTTTTGCATAATAAATTAAATTACATTAGCTTTAATTTAAGATATATATAAAAGTGTCAGACCATCTGGAACATTTTCAAAAGTTAAGTTGAAAAAGTTAATTTTTTGTGAAAAAGTTGTCATTTTAAATCCCCCCTGTGGGCAGAAAAAAGGTCAAATTTACAAAAAAAATATACCAAATGATAGGTAAAGACATCAAGCATCTATAAGAAAAATTATATTCATATGTTCATTTTTGAATAATAAATATTAATACTTATGTAGTAAAGGCAATTTTCACCACGAAAACAAAATGAAGGTCGAATTTTTTTTCCACAATTAAGTATATTACATTAGCTTTAATTTAAATAAAAGTTTCAGTATTTCCGGAACACTTTCAAAATTTAATTTTTTTTGAAAAACATGTCATTTTGAATCACCCCTATGGGTTGATAAAAGATCAGATTTATAAAAAATATATACTAAATGATAGGTAAATACCTCATATATCTATAGAAAAAAATTATATTAATTTGATTATTTTTAAAAAAGTAACGGCAGTTTTTAGTAAAAAAATTGAAAAATTTTCGAAAATTAGCGATTTTTAAATTTGTAATTTTTTTGGAGGTTTCCCCCATTTACGGGGAACGAAGGAATTTTTTTCAATTTTGAAGGGTAATGTCTTCGACTAGATACGATTTGTGATCTTTTGACGTATCATTGAAAGAAATCCAATCGGTGAGAGCTGAGAAAAAGTGGTAACAGATACAAAAACAAAAAAAAAATAAAAAAAATAAACACATCATAGTAAAACCAATACCTTCTCAGCTTCGCATCGAAGCTAAAATGTCAAAAATTATCGATTTTTAAAGTTGTCATTTTTTGGGAGATTTCCCCCATTTATGGGAAACGAGGGAATTTTTTTTCAATTTTTGAGGGTAATGTCTTCGACTTATGATCTTTTGACAAATTGTTGATCAAAATCAGTCCAGTGAGAGCTGAGAATAAGAGGTAACAGATAAAAAAAAGCACATAGTAAAATTAAAACCTTCTCAGTTTTACATCGATGATATAATACACCTAAATATTATGAAAATATTGTGTGTGAATATTACGTTTATTGTGGTTTTTAAAAAATTTTTTATGCATAATCAAAATTAATTAATGCATTATAAATTATATATATAGAATGTTTAGTAAGTAAGTAAACGGATTACTATAGTTCTCATTATTTGTAACAATTGATGCGCAATATCTTTATTTTCAGACCCTCTGTAAATAAGTTTCACTTAAATGAAAAGTGAGTTATTATGAAAAATAGTATACTATTTGTATTTATTTGTCATAAAAATTAAAATTAAAAAAGGCAACCATTGATTTTAACTTTCAATGCCTTAAGTTTGACACTGTGTCGTGTTTCCCTAGCCTCACTTCATCTTATTAACTTGTATGAAAGTGTATCGAGATCTGAGTCATAAGTGTACGGTGACCTAGTGGAAAGGTTTGTCTTTATTAAGCCTTGGATCACGGTTTCTAATTCCTTACCGTGCCTCTTTTTTCAAATAGTTTCCGATTCACTCTCTATAAACAGCTGTCAATCGGGTGACTGTGTTAATAGATATATAGATTGTTTAGTAATTAAGAAAACATACCAGTTTTTACAAACAATGAAAACAATAGAAATCAGTTTCCTTATTTACTGAACACTGTATATATTATAAATATATCAATAATATTTATTATTTGTAAAAATTTAAAGATCTTACCGTTTATAATATGATAATATCCAATAAAAAAATTTTTCATAATATCATTTCTTTTTTTTACTGCGTTATTAAAAAATTCTACTACAAACCAAATAAATCATTTAATATGAAACAATACATTATTATTAAAAAGGATCAATAGGGTTACACAAGATAGTTACTTTTCGTTATTAGAAAGATAGGCTAATCACTAATCATGCACTGAGACATTATAGTAAGTCAATTTTGTATATCTCTTACCGAGTTTTATGATAAAAATCATAAAACCGTATTACCATTCGGTATTTACCGAATGTAATTACTATTTAGTAAATTATTAATTGGCAATTATCATTATCAAATAATCATTTACCGAAGTGTAATACGCTTAGTTCTATGGAGCTTCGCTGTTTTCACTATTGTTCTTGCATATTTTTTTTAATTGGATACCTGATTTTCACAATATTGTCCTTCTGATATATTTATTCTGTCCCCACATGAAACTGATAAACGTCCTCCACAGCACACCTTGGTATTGTAGTACATTTTATATCTTTATGGTACACCCAGTACCATATAGGTTCCCAAAAGTCAACTTCATATTACGCTATACTTTCCCGTGACAAGTCCTCTCACATGGTACAGAGGTTTGGGGGCCTAATTATTGTTTGCAAGCAAGTATGCACATATGCCTACCGATCCTATAAATTGGAAATGAATGGCTGGCTATATGATCAATAGTGCATGTTTCCCCCTTACTGAATTACAAGGATCATTGGGATAGTCATTACAATAATCAATATGGTTTCAACATTAAATTTTTTTTTGATTATTTAAAATTTAGGTTGAAACTGTATAATAATTAGTGAGGATATCATTTCAATCACAGAGTTTTAAATAGTGACCTTCATGACCTATTATCAAAATTTAAAATAATATAATTAGTCTTTTAGACTAAAAATTAAAAATTAATGACCAAATACTTCTATAGACTCTAATGAACTATAGTAGTTTTATATCCATATTATATTTTTGAGTATAAAATTTAAAAAAATTAGGTATTTGAATGAGTAAAAATTAATTCAATTCGTCCAAATAAAACGAAAGTTTAGGAATGGAAATTAACAAAGCATCACTTATTTACTTACCATTTATGTCTTTATGATTTTGAGTATCGATGTCATTCTCTAAAAAAGTTGAAATTTATGAATTCAATATTAAAATTAAACAATTAATTGGGCTATTAAATAAATTACTTCATAAATTAATTCAGTCCTTTAAAAATTAATTAAAATTAAAAATATATTGAAATTATTTTAATTATTTTAATTAATTACCTTCAATATACCAGTAAATATATTTTTCGCCAATCTCATAGATTTTAAGTAATCTATCTAAGGAAAAAAAGATTAGAAGAATAAATAAAAATATTGTTATGAAGACAGTTATAATAGTTGATTGTATTATACAATTATGTATTTATAAGAAATGATATTAAATAATTAGAAAAACATATAATTCATTATTACCTGCGTCATGTAATTTTGAAAAATATGATACACCTGTATTAAATATTATAATATGCATGTATTATGTATTAATCGTTTGTGGCCTATGTATTTAAAATTAAAATATTAATTAAAAAAGAAAGGACTAACAAAAATAAACATAAAGGTCAGGGTTAAAGAACTCATAAGAAATATTTAAAATCAAGAAGTTAAATTTTCTTCTGTGACTGAACATTTATTTACACATAATCATTCCATTAAGACCGTAAAACTAATTAAAAACGTCAATAATTACAAAGAACTTAACATAAGGGAGGCAATAGAAATGTTTAGAATAATTTAATTAATTGGTATCTAGATCCCCTAAAATTGCATTATTAAATTTATAAACTGTCAATAAGTGGTAATCGGTTATGTGATAAATTAGTGATTATTAATCACTAAATAGTAAGATCACTAGAGTTTTAAAATAGTATTTTTTGGTTGGCGTATATGTTGAATGTTAATGATGGGTAACATTGTTCCCAAATTATGTAACCGCGACTTTTTAATCATTTTTGTGACTGTTTGAGTTAAGCAATTATATTTTTTTAAGTTTTAAATTAATGTTTTAAATACATATTTAATTTAATATAAAATATATATTATTAGTATTAAAAAGAAAAAATATTTATAATATAATATTATTCAATTTAGTTCAGAGATTGATTATTTTTTTATGTAATTTTATTTATTTTATGCATAATAAAATACTATTTTATTATGTGATGTATACCAGAGGTTCTCAAAGTCAAATGAATCACGGACCCCCATCTAAAGACCTACAGTCTTCGAGGACCCCCGGTTAGGTTCAAGGTGTAAACTTTTTATTAACATAAAACATCTTGATAAATATATAAACACTATCAATGGGAAGAATGCATTTGTTTCTTAAACTTTATAATGTCTGAAGTATTAGGAACAATTGTTGAAATTTTCAACCTCAATGCTGTTTCAACGTTCTTCAGTCGATTTCTTTTGACACTTTTTATGTTACAAAGTGTAGAAAATGTCTGTTCACACAAATAAGTCGTACAAAAAGGCACAAGTTGTTTGAAGGCTTTTGTTTGCTAAATCTGTGAATTCTGACCGGACAAGAAACCAAAAATGACATAAATAATTTTCTTCTTTGAAGATTATTTCTCAAGCCCTACTGCAAAACAAATCTACCAGTTGATCTTGTTCATTTTCAGAGAGGATAGTAAGGCTGGCAACATCTTGTTGTTTGAAAGGGTGTCTCATCCAGTCACTGTTTTTATCTGGTGCAGGAAAGTACTTTCTCAAAGTACTCGCTAAGTCTGTCATATGTTCGACAATCATGTCTTGAATCTCAACAGGTAGAATGTCTTCTGATTTGGTTAGATATTGTTGTAACACAGGCAATGATGTGTAAGACTTTCTTTCAACTAGATTTACTCACAGCTTTAGTTTTTCAATCATTGCTTCGATTTTGTCTTCTACTACGAATATGTTAGTATCAGGTCCTTGCAGTTTCAAGTTCAAAACATTCAAATGTGTAAATAAATCTGCTAAGTACGCAATTTTGCAAAGTCCCGAAAGGTCATTAAGTTTTTCTCTTAAGATGAACTTTTTGTGTGTACACAAAGCAATATTCTTACTTCATCAGCTAGTTCGAAAAAACGTGTAAGAACCTTTCCTCGAGAAAGCCAGCGAATCTCTGTGTGTAAAAATAGCTGTTCGTATTCACTTCCCATTTCTTGACATAGCTTGGTAAAAATACGAGAGTTCAAGGGTCGAGACTTAATGTAGTTGACAATTTTGACGAGTTCGTCAAACACAGTTTTAAGCTCAGTTGACATTTTCTTCACTGCCAAAGCCTCTCTATGTATTGAACAGTGTGTCCACTTGACGTTTGGCGCTACTTGCATCACCCGAGCCATCAATCCAGTTTTAAGACCCGCCATCGCTCCAGCTCCTTTAGTAGTTAACCCTACACATTTATTCCAATCTAATAAGCGTTTAGAAAAAATAATTTTTAATTAAAATATTGCTGCCGGAAAAAGTTGTACCAGTATGCTCTCCTTAAAAAGATCATAACTATGCTAAGTGGATATTTTATCATGAACCAATTATTTAATTGAAAAATAAAAATATTATTAATAGTTTTTTCTTTGGTAATGTGTAGATACATAATATTCGCAATTTATTAATCATGAAGGATTTATAAATATATATATATCCATTAAGCCATCATAAAGTGTCATCTTTAATTTTCAAGTGACAACATACATATAAAACTAACTTTTAAAATAGACAATTATTAAATTAAACAAAAAATGGCCAATAACAAATTTTAAACCTGTGATTGAGAATTTATTGACTTTTTTATACCTAAGCAGAGGAAGATTACGTCTGAGAAATTATTATTAATAAAAATAGTGGCACTCGCGTCTCATTCCCAGTCAATACTTTTAATTGTTAATAACTCTAATTTAATAACTATATTAACCCAAACATTTTTATGAACCAGTCATTTTTTAATTAGAATAGTATTTAATAAATAAGATAATTTATTTTGTATGTTAACTTTTGTAAAAATAAAGTAAAATAAGTAATTTATGACAAAAGAGTGATCCTATTTGAAACAATTAATATCTAATTAATAAGCTAGTTATTTATGTGTGTATAAAATATATGGAATGAATACAAAAATACTTCATGATTGATAAATTTATGTATGTACCTAAAAGAAAACAAAAAAAAATTCTCAGAAATATTTTTATCTTTTGATTATTTAAATAATTTATGATAAAAGAATCATCCTGTAAATTATAAGGGCAATATGTTGATAGTTGTCCAATGGTTCTAAACTCCTCGAATCCAGAGGAAATTTGCTATTAGTTGTATACTTTAAACAATAGTGTGTGAATAAAATGTAATAAACAAACAATTATTTTACCATGTCTTAAGAAGATTTGTGTCAAGGTTTCTATAAAAATTTAAAAATTATTATTTTTTTACTTTATTCAAATAAATTAAATATGTAGTAACATATTTTTTATGTCGGTCTGAAACCTTTATATAGAGGTCACATTAAGTTTAATTTCAAAAATTTTATTTAGTCAATTGAAATACACTTTTCATATAGTGTCATAGCACTATAAAGTTAAAAATGTAAAAAATAAAATCGAGAATTTTTACACAAAAATAGCATTTGGTAGCCATTTTCACCATGAAGACAAGTCCAGAGGTCAAATTTTTGTTTTTTGTATAATAAAGTAAATTACATTAGCTTTAATTTAAGATATATATAAAAGTGTCAGACTTTCCGGAACACTTTCAAAAGTTAAGTTGAAAAAGTTCTCCTTTCTATATGCATTTTATGTTTTGAACCTCCCCCCCCTGTATTAAGAGAAATATTCTGATTAAGATAAAATATATCAAATGAAAGAGGGATATAAATATTATGTCTCACAAAAAAATTGTGTTGATCCATACACTTTTCAATTAATTATAGCATTATAAAGTTAAAAATTTTAAATATAAAATCAAAAATTTTAACACAAAAATAGCATATATATATAAAAAATATATACCAAATGAAAGGTAATGATATCATGCATTTATATAAAAAAAAGTTATATTGATTTGGTTATTTTTAAAAAAGTTATAGCAATTTTAAGTAAAAAAAATTGAAAAAATTTTGAAAATTAGAGATTTTGTAATTTTTTTGGAGGTTTCCCTCATTTACGGGGAACGAGGGAATTTTTTTCAATTTTTGAGGGTAATGTCTTCGACTAGATACGATTTGTTATCTTTTGTCGTATCATTGAAGCATCGAAGCTAAAATCTTATAATTTACTGATATGTAAATTAGTAGTTTTGTTGTATTTTTGGGGAAAAACAGATGATTCTTTTCATTAAAAAAGGGTCGGTATTTGCACGCCTCCAGAAAAATCTATGCTCTTGAGCACTGTTTAATTTTAAATTATTTTTATGTTGTTATGGTCGAAACAAATCAAAAAATTTTATTTTTATCAAACGTATTAATATGTTAAATCTATATAAAAGTTTATTGGAACTATATTTAAATTTCTATTTTTAATCATCATAATATAATGATGATTGAAATTAAAATTTGCCCGTGAATTCAGCTCTCTACTTTTATTAAGAGTTTATTATTCATGTGTAATATACTTACTATATGAAACTTGTTTAATAAATCGATTAAACTTGTCATAAAAAGTTCCTAAAAATAATAATATCTATAGATTTTTTAATTTTTACTTATCATTTAATATTATTTTAATGTTTTTGTATCATTAATTAATTTTATAATCGTTTTTGTTGCATAGAAAGCTACTCGTTAATTTCCATGTAAAGTTTTCCTCCTGCAGCTTGATTACATAAAATATATCAAATACTAAATACTAAAAGTATGGCGAAAATTTTATTTTGAATGTTTTTGATTTTTGAGATTAACAATTATAATTACCTACATAATTCAAAACTTCCCTCTATCCCTTATCTGATCAGTTCTACAGGCTTTGGTATATTTTATGGTTAAGTTTAGCTGTTTGTTAACAATAAATTAATAATTTAATCTATAAATTGAAACTTTTTGATTTATTAGTAATTTCACTTTCGGTTTTATAACCAGGGGTTGGAACCTTCGAGTTTTTTATAAACCAGTTTCATAGAGGTTTCTAATATAAAAAATTAAGAGGTTTAGGTTCTATTATAAGTTATTAAATTTTCTTTTAAAGGTTCCGTTTACAAACCAGTTCTATAAGTGTAGTAATTAAAACAAAAAAATTAGTTATTATTTGTTATTTTTATTATTTTTTAACGTACTAATTTAAATACTAATTTTTACATTAATATTTAAAAAATCAAGGAGGTGGTTTTAGAAAATACCACTTTCTCAAAAAGGAATCTAAAAATTAATAAACTTTATTTTACTATTACATTTATATAAAATATTTTAAGTAATAAAATTAGTTTTAAAAAAATTGTAAAGTCTATTTACTAATAATTTTAAAATTTTATAGTTATTTATGTTATACATAAATATTAGGGTGGTCCTCTGTCATAGGTGAAGCAAAAAAAATTTTGATTTTTCAGTTGCAGGACCCCCTAAATTTTTTTATTACTATAAGTAAAACATTTTGGTGAAGTTTTGTCTTGATTGGTCAACCCCTTCCCGTGCCGCAAAAGGGTTGAAAATTTGATAAATGGGGTAGTTTTATAGTTTTTTGTTTATATTTCAATAACAAAAAATCGTACAAAAAAATGTTCAGGTATTAATTTGTAGATCTAAACTTGTTCTTTAAAATATGTCATAACATATTTCCTGATTAGACCATTATTTGGTCTGCAAAATTTTAAAAAATAGAATAATTTAATTATTTTACAAAATCATTTTTTTTTCTATTATTTTGTTTGTATCTTACGTATTGTCGAATTTACAACAAAAAGTTTCTTATAAAATATACTTAAAATAATATTTTAAGTTAAAAAGATAAATTGTAAAATTTTAAATTGATTCACCATTTCTTTTTTATTGCGAACTATGTCTTATTATTTGGCGAAAATAACAAAAAAATACAAATAGAACTAATTTTTTTTACACTTACATATTACGAACTATCAATTAAAAAAAATGATTAAGTATAAATTTATTTCCGTTTAAAAACTTTAGTTAAGTATCAAATTAATATGAACGGAGTTTCTAGAGCCTGTTTAGTACACTCAGGATACGTTTTTCTGTATTTTTAAACTACCTTAAATAAAAATAAAAAGTAAGTTAGCTAAATATTTTTATTACAAATATATTGCTGTTTAAATTACTTGTAATAAGAATTGTTATTGATTTTTATTTTTGGTATGTTTGTTGTTGTAATCTTCCATGAGTTTAACACTTCACTCAGCATTGTCATTGACGATTTTTAGTCCATCAACAATTTTTTTCCTAATATATAGAAGGAGTCTTTTTCCCAGTCAGCTGGGTCTATATCTAAAAAATTTATGTTAATACCATATCTTTTGAATAAGTTTAAGGACTGTTTAGTGAATAATGAAGTTGGAAAATTTGTTGCTAAAAATTCGGGAACTTTTTCAATTTTAAGTGGCAATTTCTTTGAACTTAATTCGTCGTCTTCTTCTAGTTCATTTTCCAAACTCAAATCATTAATCTTGGCCACAATATCTTTTTTTATTTCTGTAGGGAGTCTTGTATCGAAAATAGAAAACGCAACACACTCGTCACTTAAATACCACAAATGGTTTAAATATTTCGAGAGGCATACATTTGCAATCTCTTTGACATCATTTGTGTAGGCATATAAATGTGTAGGCATTTATGTCATTCATGGGAGCCTCGCTTATTGTGGTAGATGTAACCCAAGATTTTATGTATACTTTTATAATGAATGTATAAATTCTTTCTAGCGCATGGTCGTCTTATATTTAGCCCACCAAGTGAAGAACGACCCGGTTGAGAGTTTTCATATACATCAGTGTTCCAATTTTCTGATTCTTCGGATCTTAAATATTTTAAACTAGTAGCTGAAAAATATTTACATTGAGGTATGTTGAAGTAATAATATAAATATGCGCAATATTTATACAAATTTATTTGTCTACCCGAATCTATTTCTTTAGAGGCAGTATTAAACTTAAGTCTTTTTGTTACTTCCGATTCAATTTTGTCGGCTCTTCTTTTTTCTTTATCTGATAATTTTATATCGATTCCTAGCATATAACCAGGACGACTTGGCTGTCGTTGTAAAATTAAAACATTTTTGTCTTCTTCAACTTTTATAATTTCTAAAGCATTTATGTGAGCAATTTCAAAAAGATTATCTAAGTCTTTTGAAATTATTTAAACTTTTTAGGTGTTTTTCATTAACTCTGTCCTTTGATTTTTCTATATCTCGCCAAGTTTCATAATATTTTTTCAGCTTTTTTACACAATCGGTTTTATGCTTTCTTGAAATTTGGGCTTTCCTCCAGTAATGAGACATTTGTCTATCACCAAGGTAGAGCATTCCAATAGAATAAATTTTACAGAACGTAAATTAAAAAATAAGACTGGTATACAATATTTTAAAAAAGGTAGCTCACTCTCTAATATTTAATTATTCAACGAACCGACTAAATAAATTTTTTGTCGTTGCATTTTTAATAAAAATATATCTCATGTATACAAATAAAATTACATAAAAAAATCACTATTCCATATATATAATAATAATCTACAACTGCACTGATATTTAATAAAATGTTATCAAATCATCACGTTTATGATGATTTGTTAACAGTGATAACGTTTCTTAACTTATTTAACTTTTGAAAATTACGCCGTTCGTATTTTTCATACAATAATAATAAATAAAATAATAGAAAAAACCGATATTGTAAAATAATTAAATTATTCTATTTTTTAAAATTTTGCAGACCAAATAATGGTCTAATCAGGAAATATGTTATGACATATTTTAAAGAACAAGTTTAGATCTACAAATTAATACCTGAACATTTTTTTGTACGATTTTTTGTTATTGAAATATAAGCAAAAAACTATAATACTACCCCATTTATCAAATTTTCAACCCTTTGGCGGCACGGGAAGGGGTTGACCAATCAAGACTAAACTTCACCAAAATGTTTTACTTATAGTTATAAAAAAATTTTTAACTTCAAATTTCAGGACCACCCTAATAAATATGCATAAATAGTGGTGTAAAATTACTATGAAAATTACAATGAAAAAAAAAAAATCTTTTTCAAGAATATAATCAGGAATGATCTTGAGAAAATTCTCGATAGGCGGCTATTCCTTTTAATTTTTTTTATATTATTTTATATTATTGTGAAATGGTTCTGAATGGTCACTTTCAAAAAATGTTACTTTCAAATTTATTTATTTAGCTTTAAATTAACTTGATCAACCGAAGTTAACCAATTCTCTAATTTTAAGTTATCCAATTTACAAATGATTTAGAGTTATAATTAAAACTAGAAAAATATGTATTTATACATTTATCGAAAATTCTGACATGTATCAAATATTAAAGCTTATGTGATATACTTTATTTGGAAAAAAATTGACTTCTGGACATATCTTCGTGGTGCAAAGGGCTACCGTATAAAAATATAACACATTTTTTTTGCAAAAATTTTCGAATTTTAATTTTTAATTTTAACTATAAATTGCTATAACTTTTGAAAAGTTTATTGACCAATAAATATATATATTTTTTTAAATCATCTACAGTATGTTTTTATTGAAAATAGAGTTCTGGTACTCTGAATAGTTCTTTAAAACAAATAATTAGAGTTCTTAAAGTTATAAAATAATTTAAAAATTAATTTTTAAAAGTTATAAACTCGTTTATAACCAAATTTGAAAAATCGCGGGTTTCTATTACGGGTTTTAAATTAGTTTAAGTATATGAAAAAATATAGTAATTTATATATACCTAATTAAAATTTTATTAATATTTATTGAATATAAGGTAGAAATAGAATAAATATACATTAATTGAAAATTTTACAATTGTAAAGGAAATATACAGATTTTATGATAAATATTACCTTCGTTTAATTTCTCGAGTTTTTCATCTGAAATCGAATATTAAGAACAATTAGGTTTTAGTAAAAATATTAAAATAATATCATACTTATGACATTATTTTAGTTTTAATATCAATTTAGTTTACTTTTTTCATGTTTGAATCATTAATTTTGTATAAATATATATATAATATAATAATAATATAAATTTTGAAAATATTTTTTTCAAAGTCTTATAATCTACTGAACTATAAAACTACAAAACTATAGTTTTGTCCAACTATTGGGACAGACACAAATCTTTTTAGTTTCAATACGAAGCTGAGAAGCTATTGGTTTTACTCTGTTGTGTTTTCTTTTTTTTAGTGGAAATATTTTAAGCAAATATCTTTGTTTCCAAAATTATCCGAAATCTCAATTTATAGGATTTACAGTAGAACCTCATTAGTCCGGACTTCGCTTAATCCGGACAGCTGTTTAATATTACGAAAAATACGTAGTTTATGCCGTTGACTAAAATAAACATAAAAGCGAGTTCTTCGAATTTACCATAAGTACATATATTTTTAACTACCATCATTAAAGTTATCATAAACTATGTATGAGTAATTTATATTTTGGTCATTATTATATATGTACATAATTCTATCTACATAACTCTTGTTATCCATTTGTTGGTCATACAATTTGCCAGTCGGTTGCCTGATACGCTTTAGAGTGTTTCGTGACTGTGATGTCTTTAAGCAAACCTAGTCAATGTAAAAAGTGAAATCATACGTCTCTTTCACTTAACGATAAACTATGCGTAATAGAAAAACTTGAAAAGGGGACATCAGTGGAAAGCACTTGTGTGCAATATGGCAATGCCAAACAGTCTCGGACTTGAGAAAGAAAAAAGACGATATAAGAAAGTTTGTCTTTAAATTTGATGTAGAAACGGAAACAAGTGGTGTAAAAAGAATGCAGTTGCCTCTTGATCAGTCCCTTGATGGTGCAGTTTACAAATGGTTTTGTCAACTCCGTTCATCTGGATTGGCTGTCCGTGGAGTTGAAATTCAAGCTGCAGCAGAAATATTAGCTAAAAATTTGGACATTAATAACTTTAAAGCCAGTTCAGGATGGATGTTTAGATTCAGGAGTCGTCACAACATGACAAATAAAAAAATATGTTGTCAAGCGTCACAGTCAAGCGTCTATACAAAAAGAAGCTTTTACATGAAATGTGTTTTGTTCCACCTAGTCGTACAGGTTTTCCGTCCTCTGTATAGCTCAAGTATTATTATTTTCTTTTTAGGATAAAGTTAAAAAATGAAAAAAGTAATTAAAATATTCTAATTATTTTAATAGTGGCTTTTTTTGGTATATTAATATATTAATACAACTTACTTGTTAAATGTATTGATATCCCTACATCTGTAATTGAACCATATTAATCAGAATCATTAAAAATTATTTTAAATGTTTTAAAACATTATTGTTATAATAAAACTTTAAGCAACCAATTCTAAAATCAGTATCTTAAAATTGTCAATAACCGAAACCAGAAAGGGTTGACCCTCCACTAAATTTGTTTTGAATTACACTATATTTATGTGGCTAAACTTGAAAAAATTGCATAGAGAGAAAAATTGTTCATTTATATTTCTTTAAAATTAAATATATAAAAAAAGTAAACAAACTAACAAACAAAATAATTAACTATAAAAATTAGCAACAAGTTTAATTTTCAAATAGCTCTTTGATATTCTCCATAAGGAATTTTTACTATGGCATTGTGACAAGCAGCCCCTTAATATTAAAGGGGAATGGCCTGTTACTGTGCGGTAGCGTTGTTTATTTTGTAGCAAACAAAACGAAAAATAAAGGAAAATAAAAAGGGGATAGGTAAATAGGTACACATGTTTATGTATATATAAAATAAGAAATATATTTACAGTTTTGCAAATGAAATTCTTAAAAGTAAAGGGAAAGGGCGGATAACTTACATACGAAAACAATATTAATCTTATGATGTAATACAATTACAAAATGATAATAAATTAATGACTTATTTGATGTCAGCTTGAGAAGAATTGAGACAGTGGCAAAGTTATTGACCGGAAACTAATACTGAACAAAATCAGTAAGGCTACAAGGCGAGCAATTACTTATTGTACGGCTGCCGACTACTAGAAGCGCGAGACAAGTGTACTGTTTACGTACAGAAAAGGTTGTGTCGCTCACTGAGGAAGTAACGACAGCATGAACACGTTCGAACCGGTCATACACGAGTGCCACACTCTATCCAACAGGCATAAATAAAATCTTTACTGAATTAAATACAATAAAAAATATGTATGTTTCCCCCCAAAAAAATAAAGTAGGCACACCTATAAGACACAATAAATGAAGTAAAAACATATTTTACAACAGATGAATAAGTATAATTAACAAAAGTAAAAAAAAAAAATAACATTGTTTCAATAGAAATTTAGTGGCTAGTGTTAAAAAAATTATCTTAAGATTATAAATATAAGATTATATTTATGTACACATTTAAATATCCTCATGCGTACTTCAATATTATAATTATAAGTGTAATATGTACACAAATATGATGTAATAGATTTTTGCAAGAACCCAAATTAGAACCGGTCCTTTTAACTTGATAATCTAATTAAAACATTTTTAAGTATCTCTTCGAACCGGTATCTATATTTTCATTTTAAAAACTTCTATAAAATCAGATCCCAAAAACTCAAAGGTTTCAACCGCTGAAAACATTGGTATAAGCTTTCATACTATACCGGTTATATAAATTCATTTTTACCTCAGACGCCAAAAAGCTAATGATAACTATATTTATTAATGTTGTTTCAACTAGATACTCAATAATTTAAATTTCATTATAGTAAATTGAAAGTTGAAGAATGAGTTAAAAATAACTCTAAATCTAATAAATAATCCCAGATAAAAATTTTTAAAATAATGTTACAAAACATTTTTATACTACTATTAAAAAAAAATTCGATCGATGATTATTCAATATTGTTTTAATATCTCTGTAAAATCCTTCTATTAAAACTTAAATATGTCTATATTACAATAAAATATTTTTTCACACAAAAAAATTTATATTTCTAACATATATGAAATTAATAAAATTTTATTTTTATTAAAACTATTGATTGATTTACTTGTCCATAACTCTTGGTTTGATATTTTGCTGACGGACGGTTTTATAAAATAAAAACAAAAAAATAAACAATACGTGTGTAATAAACGCATTGTACACTATTTTATAAAAATTAATCAAAAGAATATACACTAAGTTAAAAATTAGGTGACGTGATTCAATTCAAAAATTAATATCTAAAATGTAATCTAAATGTAATTATATTCATCCATGATCAAATAAACATATTGTTAAACGTAATTTTTCATTTTATACTATTTTTCTTAACATAAGAAATTTCTATATTTTCATAATAAAATTTTAAAAAGTATAATATACTACCATGCTGAAAAAAACAATTTTTTTAAACTGTATTTATATCAACAAATATTTATTAATATTTCTAAAACTTTTTTTTTTAGTGAATATCTTATTCGATTTAATAGTTTGTATAAACATATTTGACATTAAATACAAATTTTTACTAAAACTATTTTCAAATTATAAAATAATAAATTTTAATACTTATGTAGTAAAGGCCATTTTCACTACGAAAACAAAATGAAGTTCGAATTTTTTTTACACAATTAAGTATATTACATTAGCTTTAATTTAGGATATCTATAAAAGTGTCAGTATTTCCGAAACACTTTCAAAATTTAATTTTTTTTGAAAAACATGTCATTTTGAATCACCCCTATAAGCTGATAAAAGATCAGATTTATAAAAAAATATACTAAATGATAGGTAAATACCTCATATATAACTATAGAAAAAAATTATATTAATTTGATTATTTTTAAAAACGTTATGGCAGTTTTAAGTTAAAAAAATTTCGAAAATTAGCGATTTTATAATTTGTAATTTTTTTGGAGATTTCCCCCATTTACGGGGAACAAGGGAAATTTTTTCAATTTTTCAGGGTAATCTCTTTGATTAGATACGATTTGTGATTTTTTAACTTAACATTGAAAGAAATCGGTTCGTCGAGAGCTGAGAAAAAGTGGTCACTGACATAAAAAAAAAAATAAAAATACATCATAGTAAAATATAATATCTTCTCAGTTTCGAATCGAAGCTAAAATAAATATTATTATCATATAAAAATAAATCATTTAAAAAAAAATTAAATTATCATTGGGTAAAAATACTAATTTACTAAACATGAACTTGAACTATATTATCATTATTAAAATTTAAGTACGAAAAAATGAATAATTATATAATCAATTTGATATTTTTTTAAGCATATAACTAAATATTGATCATTAAAATAAAAGTATAATTAGTATTATGGTATTAAAACGCGTAAAAAAAAACTCAGGGTACGTAATTATTTAGATACGCAACAAATTACATAAAATTGTTAATACAATAGTTAAACAAATAGTTTTCATCTAAATTTGTGGTATTATAATAAAAATAACAATAATAATTTACACCTCATCAATTTTTTTTAGGTAGAAAATTGTTTATAAATAAAAATATTAAAATATATCATAAATTTATGTATATACAAAACGAAAAAAAAATTATATTGTTTTAAAATGCCTGCTTTTAATAAAAAAATATATTTGATATATAGTCATAAATACGTTAAGTCATGCTAGATAAAAAATTGACCATTATATTTTCAAAGTGACTATCTCTAGTTAAGTAAATAATGATAATATCTCAAAATTTAAGAGTCATAAAATCCATAAATTTAGAATGAAAGTATATTAAATTTAAATTTTCTAACCAAAGAAATATATGAGATTTTTAGTGTTTTATCTTGTTAAAAACAACAATATTTAAGTAAAATCTATTTTAATTTACAGCGATAAAATGAACTTTTATTGAGCGTAAAAGGAATGTTTTGTAGATTTTAAGATTTTAGTAAGACAAATTTTGTTGAAATAAATAGAAATCAGTTAAAATATTAACTTTACCGGCAAAACGAGCAAAATTAATAATTTATTGTTTTTTTAAAGCTGTTTTTATCATTACGTATGAATACAAAATTAAAACTAAGAGCAGAATACAAAGATATTTTTACAATATAATTATTTATTACAAAATTATTGGTAATAATACTTAATGTTAACAATGACGCATTATTTTAATACTTTTGAAATAGTTTCAGTGAACATATGTTATTAATGTAAAATAATATATTTCACATTAATTTGGTTTTTCCTTTGTTTAGTAAAACAAAATTAAATATTTTTATTACAGTAAATAGTTAATTATTACTCCAATAATATTCTTGTTGATTGGTACAGAACGTCTTTAGCAAAGATCTAGTAGACCAGTTGTTACTAACATCGTTGATTATATTATATCGTGTGGCAGCTGATCTCCAGTGTCTTGCTTTACTCACCCCTTTTCCCACCCAGCGCGGCAGGTCGGTGACCTCCGTGTAAATTGTCATCCATATACAGTTTATTGTCGTAAGTTAGTCAGTAAATTTGTTTTTTATGTGTTGTTCTTTTTGTAGCAAGCACCTTCGCTTGAATGGTAAATTGTTCGGCCATTGTACGCCGTTATTATTTTATTTGTTTATTGCACCCTTGTGCTCAATGTTTTCGCGCCCTTGTACGCCACTAGTATTTGGGCCCTGACCATCACTAAATATCTTCATTCCCGTAGTCACTTTTCCGCCGTTTGTTCTCATCTGCCATTACGTGCCTGGATCTACACTCTGACTCGTCATACTCAGATGTTCAACACTATTACCACAAGATCTCATACAGTCCACTCATCACTATCAACAACTTCATCTGTTCACCTGAGTTTTGTATTATTTTTTAATGTTCTTTTATTATTGTCTACTCTCGTTACTTATTGGATGTACCGTTAGCCGTCATTCCCTATCAATAATAGCGATTTAAATAAGCTTAAGAGGCTTACACACTAGGCGTTTAAACGCGCGCGTACACGTTTTTAAAAAAGCGGCGTTTTGAACGCGAACACCGTTCATATGCATACTACAAGCGTTTTGACGCGTTTTTATAAAGAAAATTATCCCGCCAAAAGCTACAGTATAATCACAACAGATTCAAAATTCCTCGTGGTAGCATTTGCTCTGATAATTTTTTTATTTTTTAAAGTATAAAATAAGTTAAAGTAAATATGGATACATTAGATGATGTAGAAGTTGCATGCGTTGTATACGCCATGTATCTTTGCTGTACAAAAAAATATAAAATAAAAAAAAAACAAGTATTCGTAGATATTGGGTTCAACCCCTAAATTTAAAAAGACTTCGAGAAGGTCAATTTCAAGTTAATTTTACCTTCGATGCGAAGCTAAGAAGGTATTGGTTTTACTACGAGGTGTTTTTTTTTTTTTTTTGTCTGTTACTACTTTTTCTCAGCTGTCACCGAACGAATTTCTTTTAACGATACGTCAAAAGATCACAAATCGTATCTAGTCGAAGACATTACCCTCAAAAATTGAAAAAATTTCCCTCGTTCCACGTAAATGGAGAAAACCTCCAAAAAAATTACAAAATTTAAAAATTGCTAATTTTCAATTTTTTTTACTAAAAGCTGCCATAACTTTTTCAAAAATGAACATATTAATATAACTTTATTTTTTTATAAATTCTTGATATAAAATATATTCAAAAATAGTTTTTGTTTGTTTTAAAAAAAAAAAAACATTTTATTTTAATTTTACTACTAGACCTAAATATATATATATAATATATATTTATTGCCTTTTTATGGCAAATATATATATAATATATATATTTGCTATAACAAGGCAATTAAAGTATTTCCTGGATGATAATAAAACATTAAAACACACATTTATAAACTATAATTTTTTTATGGTAAATGGAGTATTTGTAAACATCGCAAAAAGACTGACGAACATTAAACATAATTAACAAATTATATTTCTAGGACATTGAATTTTGTAAAAAAATTAAATTTTATATTTTTATTTTAAAGGAATTTACATTAAACCCAATTAATCAGGAAAAGTTTGTAAGACATTTAAAAAACTCGAAAATAATTTTACCAATATAATTTATGAAAGAAAAATTGTTTACTTAAATATTTATATTCAAATTTATGTTTGTTAATTTGGTTCAAAACGCCAGTCTTTTTTACAATGATCCCTATTCACAGTTATCCCACTGGACCATATAGCTGAATAAAGAATTTCAAGTAGATTNAAAAAAAAAAAAAAGAAAATTGTAATGTAAATTTTATTATAAATTTTCAAATTAATATCTAGTAAATGAAGACCCTGTGTTTGGTGTTTGTAAGTGAAAATAGTTTGAATAAACCCTCACGTGCCCGGAAATCGTGGCATTTAATCGCCCCTTGTGAATGATAACATGCGATTTGCATTGTTTAATTTTAGCGATCGGTGGCGTCCGAACGCATGTTTTTACTCATAGTATGCATGGTTCAATTTAAATGCGGGTGTTTTATATAAAACGATTAATTGCCGCGTTTTTAAAACGGTGCACCGCACAACAAGACGTTCTACGGTCTTGTTGCCTCGTACAAAACACTTGTCTATAATAATTTTTATTAGATTATATTATTTTGAAGTGAATATTTATTTTATAATCGGAGACACTTATAAATTAACAAAATTGATTAAAATATTCTGGTGGGTTATGAAGATATGATAAATCTAATAATTCAATAATCATTTCGCTGTAATTTTTTAACATTTCGATGCAATTCAAATAAATTTCATAGTTATTTTTATATTTGTTATTGCACTATATCAATGTTATTTCTTTAAAATATAAAATATTTTTTTAAATTATTTTATTAATTAAAAATAAAGTTTTTTTTTTAATTTTGATTTTGATTTTTTTTATTTCAGTATTAGACAAATACTTTTAAATTGCATATCAAGTCGCACTTTTGTAGCTCTGAATTCAATATAGAACACTTCCAAAAATTAAGTTAAAAAAGTTCTACTTTCTATATGAATTTTTAAGATTTGAACCCCCCCTGTATTAAGGAAAATGGTCCGATTAAAAAAAAATTACGCCAAATGAAAAAAGTATATAAATGAGCCGTTCGCTGCAATAATGACCTAAGGTCACTTAGGTCGTTTTTCGGGCTACACTGGAAACGGGTAGATAAACTATTCATAAGTACCCCTACCAAATTTCATAAAAAAAATATCAATTATTGAGGCCATGGTGAACAAATGAATATAGGCGCGTAAATGAAAGCGCTGCGCCAATTCACAGTTGCATTCCCGTGTAACAGCTGATTAGCATAGTGCGTTAGTATACAGAGGCTTTTATAAATAACTATTGTTTAATATTATCCACTTGAAGAAT